TTTGCGAACTATTATGGGATATTGGTTAAATTAGCTGCTTTTGGTTAATAATTTACGTGTTTCAACCTAAAACCATTCTAATCTTGAAATTAGTAACGAACTCTTAATCCTAAAACACGTAACAAGTCCTGTAGGCTGTAATGACGATAACGCGGAATGCCCTGATGATACCAAAACCAGCCTAAAAGCGACCATTCATTAGAAGAACTAGAACAATGTACAATTAACGAACTCGTGCTTGCCCCTTGCACTGAAACTTTGACTTTGTTTGGATTATCAGCCATGATTTGGACCTGTTCATTGTATGCGTGAAAATATATCATTTCATTACATATGTACGAAGATATGCATATACAGCGGCAGATCAGAGCAACAGAATTAGACAACAACATCGGCAAATAGTAAATTATGTTTCCTAAAAAATGGTATCCCCGACAGACGGACCAGCGTCTTTTCGAGATGGAGTCAGATCAATCGTACGGAAGATGACCCCCAAAGACATCAACTGCACAAGCAAACCGAGGATAAAAAGATCGAGGAAATATCAACAACAACAATTCGATATCAACCAAAAATCAGCGATGAATCAAGGAATAAAAGCAAAGAACCAAAGGCTATGACAAAAAGAAAAAGACTGTTATGTTAAAAAAATGTGTATACCATTCACTTTATATGGACTATGGACTGTTATTAAAAAAATGGGTGTAAAACAATCACACTATATGAACTGTTTTTCATACCGAAAAAAAAACTGTAAAATTAAAAACTAGTCAGAACTCTTGACTACAAAAACAAATGAGAAAGATATGAAACGGAAGAACTCCAGAAAGAAACACCCGCGAATCAACTTCAAGAAACCGCGCGGTTATAGCATTTTTATATTCTATTATAAATATTTAAATTTCATTTACAAAATTGACAGAAAAATTTACAAATTTCGAACTAGCGCTAAGGGATGTATTTGCATAAACGCAAGTAAAATCTTCATTTTTATTTTTAATTGCCCCAAAGAGGCTCATCACAATTACAGCCGGAAAGGCTCATCAACGCAACACGCATATTTTTTTTTTAGCGCTTCAAAATTATTAATGTGAAACGATGTGTATTAGAGATAAGTATTTGTAGTAATCTGTCACCTAAATTTAAAATGAACTATCGCCAAATCTTTTTCTTTCCAAACACTGTTCAACACACACAAACTCTGTCTCATAATCATAATTTCAACCTCCTTGTGTTTTTATGAATTTTGTTACATTTTGCGTATCTTTTCACTGCACGCTCAAGCTTGGTCACTGCTCCGGCTCTAATGACGATCACGCGTCATGCCCTGATAATACCAAAACCAGCTTAAAAGCGACCATTCGTTATCCTAGAAAAAAAAAACGAGAACAATGGACAAGTAATTAATGAACTCGTGCGTGCAGTGCAACTTGGTATTTTGTCTGGCTTATCAGCCATGACTGGGAACTGTCCTTTGTATTTGTAAATATATACAATTGCAATACATGTATTCAGAACTATGAGAATGTGTGTTCATCAGACAAGATCAGGAAAACAGAATCAACTTAGCAACTAAAGCAAATACTATTATGTTTCCTAAACTCTCTCTAAAAAATCATCACACCGGTTGATGAATATCTAGGCAGCTATACAATTTTTGTAATATAAAAGTAAGCAGTGCTGCAGGACTTCAAATGTATCGTGAAATAGAAAGTTAAAAGAAATGGGATGCATAGCGCTCATTATTTCAGAACTACGTATACTGTATATCATTTACTGCATTTTCAGACGAAGAATGCCAATTTGAACTGAGAAGGAAGGATAATTGGAAAAAACTAAAATGGGATGCGATACCAACATTATTTAATGGGCCAAATCCACCAAGAAAATTAAAGTCATCGAGACGTGACTTGACTAAAATATTAAATGAGACAAGAAGTGCCAAGAAAGAACAGAACAGTAAGTTGTGAACTCCATAATGATCTCTATTTGAGAACGCCATATAAATATCTTCATCAACGTATTAGGTTTGAGTGAGCATCCCTACGCTAAAGGCCATCAGGACGAACCATTTGTGTCCGAAACATTTAATTTTGGGCCATATAAAGATACAGCACTTGTAAGAATGTGTGAGCTTGAAAAACGAGGTCAGGAGAAAATATATAGGTATAATGTATATTTGTTAATCACGAGAATAATGAGTATCCATACAATCAACGTCTCAATGCTTTAAGATCGCGCAACTCGAGCAAAAACTTTTAAATATGGAGCGAAATCTCAAGTCATGTTTCAATGATGACCAAATCGACGAATTGCAACGAACATTCGCGTCAAAGGGAAACAAATGGGCGGATGAAACAGTAATGACTGCTTTGAAAGTTAGATGTGCCACTGGTGTGAAAGGGTATGTGTCCTGTTTCATTTAATTTTCAGATTAAGGTGTGATGAAAAATTCCCGATATATATACTTTATTTATTTTTAGTTACAACTTCATTCGAAGTCTGGGCTATCCGTTACCATCGAGTAGAACACTTTGCAATCGTGTGGTTAATTTGAAACTTGCCCCTGGGATTCAGCATACTATTCTTGATTGGATGAAGATAAAAATGGAAGGTTTCTCACCGCGTGAACGACTTTGTACTCTTCTACTAGATGAAGTACAAATAGGCCATGCTGTGGAGTACGATCCGTCCCTGAATATGATCGTTGGCTACATCAGTAGCGAGTTTGCAACTGGCCAGACATCAACGATGGCGTCGCATGTTCTTTGTTTTATGGTTCAAGGCGTCACGACGAAATGGAAACAGTTAATTGGTAATGTGTGACTTATCATCAATACCACGTTGCACTTCTAATATATTCAAATAAACAATTTTGCACAAACTTTTTTAGCATATTTTTATACGGGAGCATCTATTGACGGGGATGCTCTATGGAGTGTAACAAATAAGCTTGTGTTGGAAATGGGGAAACGAGGCTTTATTGTATGTTGCATAGTCAGTGATATGGGGCCCTCCAATCAGGTTATGTGGCGATCTGCGGGTGTGTCATGCTACAGGTATATTTACTGGAAATGAAATGCTCTCACTTCATAGGTATGAGACAATCCGAAAGTATAATGAAACTGTCTATATTTACAGGACGGGAGATAACTGCAAAATTAGACATCCATACGACGAGAACTTCAACTTGCATTTCATGGCCGATGTTCCTCATTTATAAAAAAATATAAGGACTGCGTTTTTGAACCATATTATTTCGTTACCCGACGCGACGGTTCGACGCTATGCATTTACAACAGCTTCAGTGAGTAAATCAATTGGAAATTCCATCTAAAATTTCTAAACACAACAATGTATATATAAATAATTGTATAATTGCCTTATTTACGGGGATACATTATAATCATTTTTTTTGACCTATATTTGCATTGGAATCTTTGCAGGTTGATTCATCCTTTGTGAAAAGGCTGGTTGAATATCAAGGCACAAGAGAGATGAAGTTAGCCCCGAAGCTCACGAAAGGTCATGTGTTCCCTTCTACATATGAGAAAATGCGCGTTAATATGGCTTGTCAGGTAGAATTTGTCTACACTTTCTCCCATTAAACTCGATTATTTTATGCTGCCACAGATTTTTTTTATCTGTAGTTCATGATATTCAGAATTTGGATGGCAATTTACTGTTTTGTTATAAATAGGTGATGAGCCACACTGTCGCCTCCGCACTGAGGTCTCTCGTAGCGGCTGGTGTTTTTTCAAATCATGCACGCACAACAGCTTTTTTTCTACAACTCTTGAACAATTGGTTTGATCTCATGAATTGTCGTCACACAGGCACGGCACTTTATTCAGATTCGGATAGCAAGTTGGAGAAAAGTAATGAGGTGATTTAAAATACTTAAATGTTCTGAAAAAACAAAAATTCGAGCAGCTCTGCGGCGAAGAGATAAACATTCATCTTCCATCAATTTTTTAAGCCTTGTTTGTACTTCAAAACATCGCTTTTCCTGATAATGTTTTTAAACCTGTGTTGAGAGGAATTAAGTTGTCCACAACTGCTTTGCTATCACTTCACCAAGAGTTGGTTGTTAATGGACAATTAGATTATATAATGAGCGGTCGCTTCACCCAAGATGCTCTTGAAAAATTGTTTTCACAGTTGGGTTTTATTGATAAACGTTTTTTTTCTAATACAATCACAAGTAAGCGACCGAAAATGATATAACACCAGGCATAAACGCAATATTGTTATTTAGGTCAGAGGTTTCGGAAATTCCCATCCTTCTCCGATTCATTTTAGAAATGCTTTGAAGCTCGTGATAGTGGGGCAATTTATGGATGTGCCGACGTCGTCAAACTATGATGTTGATGAGACTCCCCATTTGCTGAGCTTCGTTAAGGATCATTTACCATATGTGAATCATGAAAACGGTGAAGGCATATCTCCTGACCCTCTCGATATACTCGTTAGTGCTGCCACTCCTTTGTTAGATTTTATCGAGGGAAATGGGTTATATTATTTAATTGGGTGGAGTATCCACAAGGAAGTTCCTAAAGAATGTGCCTTGTGTATGAGTGCTTTCGTTACATCGGACATAAACATAATCACACAAAAGACAGAAGCAATACTTTCACTATTTAAATCCTACAACTCTAATCAAAATCTGACCACTGACAACTTAACCGCTCATCTTTGCCCCCCCAACTCCATTAATTTTTGAATATTTTGTTCGAGTAGAATGTATTTTCCGATCGATTATCGAAAGTGTCAAAGCATTTTCTAACATCGAAAACGTTGTTTTGTCCTCGTTACCATCACCTCCGGCTAATATTCCAGAATGCCATACTACAGCAGCAAATTCTGGAAGCGATTCATTAAGCAAGGCTTAGGA